TGTAGGAGGGAAAAGAAAAATATGTCATATATTTCACTTCTCATTTACAAAAGTGGATATTCCAGAAATGACTAGAAGTGGCTGATAATGTTTTGCTATACTTTGTGGGGAAGGAGTGGAAAAGTAAGTTGAGAAAATGTAGATATTGCAAAAATTTGCCAACTTTCCACTGAAATAAATTGAATGTACCCAATTTATTACATGCTTATTTCAGATTTGAATTGTTGGAATATTAATGTATATTTTCCTTAATTACCACTGTAGTTTGCTTGGTTTATTAGCAAAACCCTTTTCTCTGGTCTGGACTTTGTGACTGGATTGCGTCTACATCATGCCTGAATGACCTCGGTTTCATGACCGTAGTAAAATTTGGATAAAGTAGTCTGAGTGGGCTATAAAAGACAAAAAATCATAAATTCCTTAAAATGTAACCTTTAGATGACATAGTGAGGACCTTGGTGGCTACAGTGGAACACCAAATAAAATGGTTTGAATCAAAACTTCATCCCAAAGTGAAATGTTATTTATTATGCTACAGCTCAAACAAGGTGTTTAGACACTTCCAAATCCCTTTCTTATTTTTCATTTGCATTAGTAAAATGTAATATCTTGCTTTTCAGGCTAATTTGAGATCCTGAGAAGCATCTGAACACATTATGATATTAAATATATAATATCATAATTTCTAGTGTGATGAAGATCCCAGTTTTTACCAGCTGCTAATGGCCTCTGGAGAGATTCAGGCTGATAAGGTTTGTGATGTCAAACAGCTGTAGATGAAAATACGAGAAACAGTTGACAATACTTAAATCATACAAATGTTAAACTACAAATCTGAGACAGGCACATAATTATCATGGTATTATTTCATATGAATTTTATGTGATATTAAATATCTTTAAATTGTCATACTCTTAGCAAAGTCAAAAAAGGAACATACTAATCTGCAGATTTATATTTCAAACAGTAAAGAAAGAAAACAACACAATATTTATTTAGCATGAACAAACTTCTGAAGCTTTGCTTGTTTTTTAATGTGAAATTGATTAACTGAAAAGAAGGTAATATACTGAGTTCACCCAGCAATTTAAGGTGAACAATTCATAGAAATGACACATGTGTAACCCCTTTTCTTGCGTATGAATTATCTCAGACTAAAGTGTGGAACTTCAAACTGTACCTGTAGTTAAACATATCTGCTGAACAATCCTAAAACTGCAGTTTATTTGCAAAAGCTTTATATACAAATTCAATATTCAAAATTCAAGCTGCTTGATTAGGTGAATAGGCACGTAATATGTTTCTATCTCAGAAGCCTGATTCTTCATATCAAAAATCTGATATGAATCATTCAGAATTTGCTTTTTGAGAATACTCTTCAATAATATGCTCAAAATTCATCAATCATTATTGTTAGTACTGCCATTCAGCAGAAGAGTTACAGAAAGCAAACAATACCCAGCTCAAATTACTATAATGTCTATTTACCTTTCCAGTGAAAGGAAACCTGACTGATAAATGGAATTTAACAGCATAAAAGAACAAACTACATTTACTTACTCAGCTTTTGAAGGAAGAATGAAATTAACATACCTGCAGTATATGTAAATCCCTTAAATATAAATGAGTAACTTATATTACTACCCCTACATATTTTTTCTAACAAAACTCATTACGTATCTAAATTTTACATAGAAAATGAAAGTATGTTTATTTCTGGAGGCTGGATGCATTAGATTTTTCTGAATTATTTTGATCTTTAATTTCAAGGATGCATTTTTCATCTGCTAAGCTATACACTAATATTGGAAGCTGCTTACCTAAGCTTTTGTTCAGTGCTACAGAAAATGCTAACAGAACAATTAAACCATTGTTTCAATGAGAGTTCCAGTGCATACAGGTAATAAACATATGGAGCTTATTCTCTTCTATCTTCATTGTCTGAGTTTCTTTCCTTTTACTGGCAGGCTTACAGAACTACCAAAGCCATGAAAATTCAATGCTAACTTAAAAGTGCAACCTCTGTTACTTTATATTTTTGTACTGTGAATCAAGGCATTGTTTACATTAGACAATGAAATGAAGATGAGGCAGAAAACACACCTCTGAAGGACCTTCTACACAAAAGGATGAACACGTAGTTCTTTGCACAAAGCATTAGAAAATACTGTGATATTTTATTATTAAAAATGCTGCTGAAAAGTTTATACATATGTGTCCAGCCATATATATCTTCTATCATTACTTAAGGCAAAAAACAAAAGATTGCAAAACAATAACAGAAGAAACCATTAAACCCTGTGTGCCTCTTAAGGTCAAGAATATAAGCCTGGGAAAGTACTTTTGTTTTTCTTTTACAGTTTGCAAAGTATATTTTGATATCATTATTATATAATTCTACGAAGACCCTATAAATCTGTTCCCTCTATAAATCATACATCAGTCCAGATGTATCAAATTATTAAATCAACTTGATTGTAATTACTTTTAAAAGCTAAAATCATTCACTTACAGGAACTTTTTTTTTTACCCAAATGTCACAAGCCTGACACAGTACTGTACATATTGCTAGCAGAAGACAATTGGAAGTACTAAACAAATACTTTAATTCACATTACAAACATACCCAACTGATTATGATGCCAAGCACCATTACCTTTTTTTAAAAAACTTTTTTCTTTTTTCTTTTTTTTTTCATTTTTTTAACCTTTATTTAAGAGTTATGAACTGCTGCATCTCAGCTGAGGCATTACATAGGTGGTGGAAATGGCCTGGTATAAAGTCAGCATTAATCAATATTATGTGATGGATCAGTGAAAAAACCAACCAACCAAACAAAAAAAACCAACCAGTTTTCCATTTGCTACTAGTTGTACTTTGGGGTTGTTACTTCATCACATTCCAACCTGAGCATCCATGTCAGGTTTATAGAATATTTATTACAGATGAAGAATTATATCAGCCACATATTGGATTTTATCATGTCATTAACTTTTTTTTTTTATTTCCTTCCTTCAGAATCTCTTTTGCTGTCTGCTACAACAAGGAATTGTGCAGATGAATAGACCTCAGTGAATCACGTTGTCTTTAATTTTGCTGTGGGGGGGACTATTCCAAGACATTTTATTAAAAAACAAATAGCATAGAAAACAAGAAGAGGTACAAGGCATCTTGTGTTAGATATTTATGGGACATATGATACTGATGCAGCTTAGTTGTGGACTAATAATAGAAAATACATCTGGGATAATCATATTCAAGTGCAGACCAATTTGTTCAAATATCTTTGGTAACTATCTCTCGATGATGGAGTAACTTTCAAAGACAAAATATAAAGCAATCTTCATCTGCGAGAACTTCGAGATTTTCACATTCAAATCATTTGTTTGAATCAAACTGCTAAGTTCCTTTGTTTGATAGCTCTGCTTGGCCCCTGGTTTCCTAACGAAGGAAGGGAATAACTAGCTAAGAATTTTGCCTTTCCTGAGAGTGATGCTCTCTGGGATTTTTGGTTTCATTCAGATGCAGAACAGCTGACAAGGTCTCTATGTCTTTGTCCATAATGTTCACTGACTATGGGACTGCTGTGCAATAAATCGGCAAAAAAAGTATTTCCTGACAGGTATGCTCTTGAGCACGAAACAGGATACTGGACAGAGAAGGTCTTTACATACTGGTAATTTCTGAACACTTTGAAAACCAGCCAGCCAACCAACACACCATTTCCTCACTTTCAAGTTGTGATTTTGTTTAGCAAAGCTACGAAGGTGCTTTCTCAGTTGAGATTCTGCTGCAAATGCTGGTGAATATAGGAGCTAGTTTTCTTCACAAAAGGCTGACCAAAACACAGGCTTTCTTTGCTTTTGTCAGGGCACAAAATTCTTCCTAACATATCACAATAACCAAGAACTACAAACTGGACTCTGAATATATATTATTGGATGTTTCTTGGTTCAGCTAAACAAGCTTAAAATAGCAAGTATTTTCTTTTGTGTCTTTTTTTTTTCCATTTTCCAATCCATTGCTGCTGCAATTTAACAAAGGCTAACACAAAATTAAATTATAGAAAAAAAGTTTCAGAAAAGAACAACAATCTCCTATGAATACTTTAACATGCACTAGTGTAACCTGTAAGAGAAAATACGCAGGTCACACAGACAACTGTATCCTCTGCATGACACCATGGCCTCTTATAAATGAAACATGTTAGAAAAATCTCATGGTTTTTGTTTACCACTAGTAATTAAGAAGAAATTCCTCCTTTGGGCTTGGAGGAAACAGAGGTGATATGACTAATGTATATACACATAGGTCACAACCGAATGCACAATCTTTCTAAAAGCTCTTTTCAAACTGAAAACATCAATAAAAGCTTCTTCTTTTTCGTTTTTAAACTCACAGCTATGTACATTTTTACAAAGTTTCTTTAAATATAGTTCAGGCTGGCAAGTCATCTCTTTGCACAGAACTATACGTATTTTACTGCATAGTCAGTCCTCCTCTTTTTTTTTCATTTTTTTTTTAATAATAAAATTCTATTTCCCCCATCTGGATTACAGTTTCATATGCTGGGTAAAAGCCCATGGTGATGTCTTTGTTTTAACAAGGGCCATTCACGATATGGCACATAGAGAATTTTTTAATTATTTTATTTATTTAAAAAAAAAACCAAAACACCTGTACAGTCACTGGCTCTGTGTTCCAGAAGATTCTGCTTTGCTTGTTATACTCAAAACACCATTTTAAGTGACGTCTTCTGGGCTCAATTTTCAATCAAAGTGGCTGAGATCTTAAAGCAGTATCGTAACAGCAATGTACACTTTTCACATTTCACAGGGTTTCTAGTTGATCTTTAACATCAGAGAGTTTCTGTGGGAAGGATCAGTAAGAAAATAATGACTGTCCTTCTCTTTTACTTGTTTTTACTTTAGGCTTTGACAAGGCGTTCAATGGATGGTATTATAACTTTATCCTCTTCTTTTTTCTTTTTTTCCTTTTTTTTTTTTTTCTTTCTTCCAAGTGGCTTGTGAATGTAGAGGGGGAAGGGCTGAGCTATACCCTAGTGGTTGAATGTCCATGGGGCAAATTTGTACTGTTTTGTCCTCCACTGAAGGTGTTGAAAGTATGCAAAGGCTGCATTCCTGTTAATGTGTTTGGAATCATGGTTATAGTGTTGGGTGTCATTAGCGGGATGTCGTCTGGGGACCTTCTCAAAGTAAGCGTGTAGTCAGGTGGGCAAGTTAGTCTCAGGGTGTCATGCGCCTGCAGTGACTCACACTCATGGTCATGTTCTAGCTGTTTCATCTGCAAGGACATAATCTCTTCGTTCTGTATGTGTGCGATATCGTTGGTTGTGTTCCTCTGGGGACTAGGGCGCCTGTGAGTCTCGTGACGCCGCTTGTCCTTCTTGTAATACAATGCAGCAAAAGCTAAAATATTGAGGAACAGCAAGGAGGCCCCCACAGCAATGGTGACACTCAGCTCCGTGGAATAATCGCGCTTGTTTTCTATCAGAACTGTTGTATCCTCCGGAGCTGTTTTATGGGTGTCTTTTGAATGTTTGGGATTGTTGGCAGGTGTCATTGCTGGGCGTTTGGTGGCTGGCCACAATTTACCAGGAGAACGTCGTGTCACGTAAGGAAATGATGTCATATCAGGAGGGGGGACTTTAGTTGTTGTGGAAACATACTGAAATATCTCATTAAGGTTGTGAAGGTGTGGTACAAGCTCCAACCAGAAAGCAACTTTTGTTGCTCGGTAGTGATCCCGAACTCGAGGTTTCAGGCCAATATGCAAATAAAGCTGGTCTTTAGGATTGTATTTGGACCAGGCCACTTCTTCAAAGCGGTTGGGTTTTGTGTGGATGAACTTCGTGTCCTGTGGAACAGGCTGGTTTGGATCTCTACAAAAATAAAAACAGGCAATATTATAGTCATTAAAAAAAACTCCAAAAAACAAATAAAGATACTCCATCCTTTAGTTAATGGTTTATCCAATAATTAACACAACCTAAAAGCAGAAGCTAAAAAATCTCCCTAACTAAACATGTTAACAAACACAAGAAAAATTACTTACTGTACAGTGAATCTCAGACATTATAATAGCTTTTTACACAAAAACAAAGAAATGGTTGTGTTTCAGCTCCCAAAAGCTCATCTTAAATTAATTCAGTACCACACTCCAAAGCTGTCTTAAGAGAGCTAATGATTACCTCTCCCCATAGCAGAGGTATAGGTTCAGATCTTCTCAAGGTTTAACATTAACTTTCTTATTTAAGGTACCACTACTTCCACTGCTCTAAGGAGTAAACATGTGTGTCTAATCCCTATGGCAACACTGAAATTCCATGTGACTGTAAGAATTTATACTTGGCTAGAGTAAAAGAAAACAAGAAAAATTTCTTCAAATACATTAGTGAGAAAAGAAAGAATAGAGAAAAAGTGAGTATGCTCCTAAATGAGGCTGGAGATACGATAACAGAGGATGCAGAGATGGCAGAATTACTGAATGTCTTCTTTGCCTCATTCTTTACTCCTAAGGACAGTCCCCAGGAATTCCAGTCACTGGAAGTAATGGAGCAAAACTGGAGTGAGGATGACTCTCAACTGGTCAGTGAGGACTGGGTTAGAGACCTCTTGGAGCAACTGAAAATGCACAAATCCATGGGCCCCGACGGGGTGCATCCACATGTGCTGAGAGTTGGCTGATGTTGTGGCTGAGCCGCTTTCTATCATATCTGAAAAATCATGGGGAACGGGAGAGGTGCCTGAAGACTGGAAGAAAGCCAATGTCACTCCAGTCTTCAGAAAGGGCAGGGAGGAGGACCCAGTCACCTACATTCCAGCCAGTCTCATCTCCATCCCTGCAAAGGTGATGGAGGGGCTCATTCTGATGGCCGTTTCTAGTCAATTGAAAAAAAAGAAGGTTATCAGGAATAGCCAGCATGGATTTACCAAGGGGAAACCTTGCCTGACTAATCTGATATCCTTCTACGAGGACGTGACCAAATGTGTTGATGAAGTGAGAGCAGTGGATCTCATATACCTTGACTTCAGTGAGGTTTTCGATACTGTCCCCCATAATATCCTCATAGTTAAACTCAAGAAATGTGGGATAAATGATTGGACTGTGGGGTGGATTATGAACTGGCTCAGCAAAAGAGTTCAGAGGGTTATGATCAGCTGAATAAAATCAAGTTGGAAGCTCGTGGCCAGTGTTGTTCCCCAAGGATCTGTGTCCAGGTTTGTTCAATATCTTCATCAATGACCTGGATGAGAGGACAGAATGCACCCTCAGCAAATATGATGATGATACGAAACTGGAAGGGGTGGCTGACACACCAGAAGGCTGTGCTCCCCATCCAACAAGATTTGGACAGGCTGGAGAGCTGGGCAAAGATTAATCTCATGAAGTTCAATAAGGACAAGAGTAGAGTCCTGCATCTGGAGAGGAATAACACCAGGCACCAGTACAGATCAGGGGAAGTCCTGCTGGAGAGCAGCACCATGGAGAAAGACCTTAGAGTCCTAGTGGACAGTAAGTTGTCCATGAGACAGCAATTTGCCCCTGCAGCCAAGAGGACCAATGGTATCCTGGGCTGCATTAAGAAAAGTGTGTGCAGCAGGTCTAGGGAAGTTCGGCTCCCTCTCTACTCTGCCCTGGTGAGATCACACCTGGAACATTGTGTCCAGTCTTGGGCTCTCCAATTCAAGAGAGAGAGGGATCTGCTAGAGAGAGTTCAATGGAGAGCTATGAGGATGATTAAGGGACTTGATCATCTCTCCTATGAAGACATTGAGAGAACTGGGGCTGTTTAGCCTTGAAGGGAGATGGCTGAGAAGAGATCTTATTAACATATAAAAATATCTGAGGGGTGGGTGCCAAGAGGAAGGGGCCAGTCTCTTTTCAGTGGTGCCCAACAATAAAACAAGAAATAATGGGTATAAGCTAGAACATAGGGAGTTCCACCTCAGCATTAGGAGAAACTTTACTGTGAGGATGACAGATAACTAACTGGGGCTGCCCAGAGAGGTTGTGGAGTCTCCTTCTCTGGAGACTTTCAAAACCCACCTGGATGCGTTCCTGTGTGGCTGCCCTAGGGGATCCTGCTCTGGCAAGGGGGTGGACTAGATGATCTCTAGAGGTTCCTTCTAACCCCTAACATTCTATGATTCTATGATTCTATGATTCTATGTGTATATTACAAAAAAACCCTTCAAAATATGAAGTAACAGCTTAACACATAAAACTGGGAATGATTTCTCTTTGTGTCCCTTTACTGAGCTATTACTCCTCCTTCATTCAAGTATCTGCTTTATGGAAAAGCCTTTAAAGTACTTGTATGCTGCAAATCTTTCCATCATTTGTATTAGCAGATTGCTACTTGAAAGTTCTGTGTGCTCATCACTACTAAATAACTACATCTAATGGCCATAGGACAGTAAGCCTTAATTCTGTCCCGGTTTGTAGAGATGAGAAACATATTAGCTGAGATCACCAGGTTTTATAGTAGTGAAGTAGTAGTTGAGATAAGAGTAGTACACTACTCAGAGATCATTTCAAAACTGAGAACTCAAATATTTAATTGAAATTATGCTTGTCCCATTTGGTGTTTTTTTTCTTTCCTTCTTAGAGGTTCGGAAAAAAGACAAACCAATGGGACAAAAAGCATTTAAATTCGGTGATTTTTAAAATGTCCTTAAAATTTCAGTAAACTTTACATATATGATTTCCTCTTGACATTAAAAAATACAGACATTTAAAGGCACTAACACTGAGTTTAGTATTCTGTTGTGCATGAGTTTGAATCTTATTTTGCAGCAGACTTTGTGAGATATTATACTGAGAGTACGTGATTTATTTTCCATGCATTACTCTGAGAAATTTCCATTCTCCTTTCCATTCCCATATGCATTAGTTTATTTCCTGTGAAAATGATTCTAATATTTTCCTTTTCTTCCAATATACTGTTATGCATGTTAGGGGAATACCAAGACCCACTGCTACAGATTTCAAAGCTTCTTAGTTTTTTTCTTTTTCCATTTTCAAAAGCTCATGAACATGATTGCCTAGTTTAGCATTCCTTTGCTGTTCATAAAGAGCCATTCCTTAGTTCTTAAACCAGACTGGTAATTTGATGTCAATAATCTTATGGTTCCTATGTTCATCTGTCTGCTTGAAAGAACTTATTTTACCTTCTTTTGAGTGAAAGAAAGAACTATATTTCTATATAATTTTGGTACTTTGGTTTACTTATGCTTGTGGTTTTAGGTGTTTGGGGGATTTTCCGGTGGTTTCGTGGTGGGTTTTTTTTTTGTTATTTATTTTGTACTGCATCTAATCTTTTGCATCCCAATGAGATATAAATTAGAAGTTCCAGAAGCTATCTATCTATCTATCTATCTATCTATTTATCTATCTATCTATCCATATATCTATCTACCGTCTCAACAAAAAATTATTTGCTTAGTAATTGCTCATCCTAGTTGAAGCTAGAGTAGTAATAGACATTTCCAAGCAGTACAGTAGTAGGTGTATATTGCTACTTTGAGGGATTCTAACCTGCTTTCTAGAAGGAAATAAAAGTATTTATTTTGATCTTAAAGCACAGACTGAAAGATTTGGCAAATCCAGAGCAGAAGATAATGTTCTAATTCAACATATCTAGTACTGCAGTACTTTGGGTTTCAATATATAAATTCTAAAGCAAATTAAAAATCTGCAAGATTATCAAAAGGCAAAACATTTTTCTTCCCAGAAACTCCAAAGCATGCAAGAGTTACAGCACAAAATCCATCCTGTGTTCTCCCCCTTTGTTGTTTTGATTCCAAGCACAGAAGACTCTAGGAATGATTCTAGAGAAAACGTATACATTAAACTTGTATACATTAAACATGTAAATGAGATGTACTTGATACACAGTACAGGAGATTAAGCAGCTGATCACTCATTTCAATAAGATAAACTGGACATTCACTTGTTTTTATCTTTTTTTTTTAATGACCTTATTAAAATGACAGCAGATGATGGTTTTAGCAAGAAACAGCCCACAAAACAAATATCAACCTCCCTTTCTTTTTTCTCTTCCATTCTCTACCTCCATCTCTTCTTTTTATATCTGTGAGGAATAGCCAATCATGTTACCACCTCCTCCAAACACAAGAGAGAAAATTACATTTCATAAGGTTAGTCTTGTTTACATGGCTGTGCATGGGCATGAACATTTCCATTGAAACAAGGAATAGAAAAACAAAAATCAGCCCTAGAGACAGGGAGGGCTGTTTTTTTTTCTGAGGATATCAGAACCCTATTGTTGGCATCAACTCCAGAGTTGATAGTCCGAATACTCTCTCCAGATTTGGAGGTTAGGTATCTTTTCAGAAGAAAATGGAATAATTCAGTCCAGTCCTAAATAAAGGATCTAATAATGTATGCATCTTGGTTTTACAGACTAATGATAATTGAATAAATATATTCAGTGCAAATAAATAAGAGGATTTTGACTTTCCTTGTCCCTCCTTCTGTGTACACTGGAGACCACTAATACAATCAGCTGCAACTTATGACGTGTTAAGTCCTTTTCTTAGGTAGCTGGGCAGTTTATCTTATCATTAACAATTTTATAGATAGACATAAAATATAGATGTACATACTGCTGCTTGACAGAACTCTTCATATGTAATTTAACTTCAAATTTCCCTTTGCTTTTTTTAGCCTCTCAAATCACATTTGTGTTTCTGGACATTCCTGAGGCTCAAGTGTGCAATTATGGAACAAAAGGCTGTTAGGAAATCTTCTTTTAAAAACCTGCTGTAATCATGGTGATAAAAATATAATACAAATAATATATTTTCAGTTCTAGACTTTCAGTAGTGGCTCTCATAGGAATGAGATAACTTGGTAGGGAACTTTGCTTTTTCTTCATCCTATTGCTAGAACAAAAGTATTTTTTATTATTATTTTTCCTTTTGATCTCTGATTATTTGTTTTCACTAGCTTTAAAATTTAATTTAAACTGAGGCATTTCTAATTATTATGCAGAACCATCCATTTTCACTTATTTTATTTTTCCCCACTTTCAGTCTGCATTGATTTTGCTCAATTTAACATGTTGCATTTTATTGTAATTTTATTCATATCTCATGGGCTACAAATGTACATTCAAAGCTCTGATGTTTTTCTTCTCAGGTCATATAAAATAAATATGTCTGCAATGGATACTGACTGAAGAGCAATGCATATTCCTGTTTATGATGTGAATTAGAAGCTGGCCTGGATTATTTTGTATCTGGTGATACTGACATGGGAAGAATAAGAGTTTAAGAAGTTTTTTCTTATCCTGAATTCCATATAACATTGAAATGCCATTTATCTTTTCACTACTTCTGCAACAGCATTAACTTTCACTCACAGCAATGGTACTGTTATATTAATGCACCTGAAGTGTTTATTATTTTGATTAATTCTCAAAATTCATTGAAGACCAAAATATCATTTTAACAGAGTCTGCCTCCAAGACACTGAAAGGCCCCTTGATCATTTATTTTCTTTTAGCAGTCCTATTTTCTCCATATGGGAGGAAAAAAAAAAAAAGTGAGAGAAAAAAAGTGTGGTATTTCTTCATGCTTTCATTGATACATCCATTCCTTCCTGAAGCCTACAAGCATATTTTCCTTTACCTCCTTTCCTCACTTATCACCAGGTCCCACTGTTTCCATGCTCCCAGTCAGCTATTATAACTAAGAAGAGCAGACCATAAGCAGACTATTTTTTTGTCTAACACAGACTGACCCTTGGAGACAGTGATTTTTTCAGACAAAAACATCAAAAAGAAATGCAACAGCCTTATAAAGAAGTTCACAGAGAATTGATCTGAAAATGTGCTTTAGTCATTCTAAGTTTAATTATGTCTTCCATTAGAAAGCTGAACTGAATCTAAAACATAGATATCCTTAATAACTCAGTTAAGTTTTTGCTTCAGAATCAATGGTAGTAAAATAATTCAGGAGTATTGATCTGATTTACAAAGAAAACAAGGATATATCCTTTAGGCCTTTATATTTCCTATCACCAACCTAGGTAGAACTGGATAAATGGCAACGAAAATAGGGTACTGTATCTCCTTGAATAACGGTAATTTTTAGAAACCCAATAGATGCCTCTAATGAGAGCATGGCTTCATATCTACTCTATGAAACTTCAAATGCTTCCTCACAAGAGTGGTGGACTATCTGTGAAGGACTGGCACACATCCCCTCATGTCATTCACTTTCCCTGTTGATGTATCTATGAAGGGTGTAACATGGCCCTAATTAACAGAACATTTGAGCATATGAAATTATTATTACAGTTAAGATAGTACTTCTGGCAGTAGACTGAAGCTTTAAGTGCACCTCTCGATGAAGCTTTCACATACAATTTTGCACATAGCAGAATCAAAAGCTGTGTTTTCATGTCATTTTTGTTTCCCAAATGTAGTTTCTCACACCTACTCTGTAACAAATTTGTAAAAACAACATGCCTATTTCTAAGGCATGTTAGAAACATAGTTGTGAAAAGGTCAAAATGAGTGTTAATGCATGTGGTGGTTTAACCCGGGACAGAAACTGAACACCATGCAGTTGCTCACTCACTTCTCCCACCACAGAGGTATGGGGAGGTGAATGAGAAAAGAAAAAAAGTGAAACTTCTGGCCTAAGAACAATTTAATAACTAAAATACAATAAAATATTATAATAATAACAGTAATGAACATTAATATAGTAAAAAGAGGGAGAAAGAAATAAAACACAAAACACAGAGGATACACAATGCAGTTATTCCCCACTCACTGACTGACGCCCCCTCTACCCAATTCCACCCAGTTTATATACTGAGTACAACATCCTATGCTGTGGAATAACCCTTTAGCTAGTTCGGGTTAGCTGTCCTGGCCATGCCCCCTCTCAGCTTCTTGTGCACCTACTCACTGGCAAAGCATGGGAAACTGAAAAATCCTTAACTAAGGAGAAGCACTGCTCAGCAAGTCGGCAAGGTAAAAAAAGGGAGGATTAGCAAAATGGAGCTTCCAGGTATTCGTTTCAAGCATGGTCCATTTGCCATTAAACACTTTGTCACCTCCTATTTGCTAGCTTCAGTAACTGGCTTCAAAGTAAAACACAATAAAAACACTGTGCCTTGTGCTGTGTCTTTGACACCTAATGATTTTACAAGATTGACCTGCCCTTCAAACCCAGCCTTGGCAGTGGGCCCCGGTTAAGCAACATCAGTTCGAAAGCCAGCACAGTCCGTCAGAACGATGTGCCACCTAAGCCATAATTATACAATAAGTACCTGGATGCAGTCTCTGTGGGAGAGTCATCAAGACGGGAAAAGTATCAGAGACATTAAAATTAAATAAATAAGTCTGCAGTTTTTATGTTCAAGGCTTACCCAAAGGGAAAGGAATAATAAAATCTGTCAGTTAACAGATTTTTCATATGTGTTGCCATGGGTACAAACACAAAGCAAGCCAAGTTCTTGCAGAATAAGGATGGGAAATGGTGAATTTAAAAAGGTATGAAAAAAACCGAAACAAAACAAAAAAACCCACCAAAAATCCTAAGCACTCAACAATGCACTCCGCATTCCTGAACTATGTCCGTTTTTTTGACAATTGGACAACGTGACAGGGCACATAGATTCCAGACTGCACGTGAGAAGGCAGGGAGGAGAAGTTACCCCAGATACGGCCCCTGTTGCTCTAGGCTTGAGGTGCTACAAACTTCCCTTTTCTGTTGGAGGCATGAGAGGTGCAGAGCAAATGTAATCTCATAATATCATTTCCCTCCAAGTATTGTCTTGTACTATGCAGAACAATTAATCATTGTTCATATAAACAAAATAATCCTATAAGGTAATGCATCATGTTGCTCTTTTCCTTTCCTTGTGAAAAATGAAATTTCACAGTTAGAGTTCACTTTTAATGACGTGTCTTTCAGACTGTTTATAAATTGGCAAGTTTGTTATAGAAGATACACCCTTTTCCTGTATCAGCAACAGTGAAGTTTTATTCACAAGCCCTGTAGAAATGTTTAATGGCTCTCCCAAAGCACTTGTCAAGTCTTCAGGTTTAGTATGACAATGGGTTCAAAACCAGAGAACTGTATGATGGCACATATAACCTGTTGAAATTAGCTTCCAAATAGCAACAGCTGGAAAGTGATTGCAGTTTCTGGTAATGGTGGCAGCTGGGACTATGAAAAGCTTCTGTCAGGCTCAAAAAATTGCTTAAATACTACTCTGTATTCTGAAGTCAATAGTCATAAAGTAATTGTAAAAAATAGTGAGGCTGTGGAGATCTTGAAGCTCCATAATTATTCCAGTGATGTATATTTGTGAGGTTCTCAAGTCCTCTCTCTATATATGGTACTTCATCTATAAAAACAAAGACTCGCTTACGGCATAAGGATCTTCCTCAGTGCGCAGTATAGCCAGCATGCGACATTCTCTGTTCATAAACCAAGTTTTCATTCATTTCATTTGCCCATCCCAGCACTGATGAATTTTTGGTGCCAAATACATCTAAACATTCCATTCGCTATTGTTGCAGTACTGTGAGATTTCTGCATGCAAAAGTACCTGTTTGTCTAAAATGCAGTACAACAAAAGCTTTCTTTATGCCTTCTAAATTGACCTGAAGCATTTGATTGTTTTTTTACTCAATTCATGCTTGAGGTTTTTGTTAAGACTGCAAAATCTCTGTCCCTTGAACATCATTTGGATTCATTAAAGGCTGCAAGAGCTGCTGAAGCCTCTGAATGTTTCACTCTAGGCATCTCTGAATTTTCCTTATATAGCTGCACACCATTCACTGCAGTGCAGTAAAGCTGCAGTTTCCAGAGCCCAGTCCTGCCATTAAACATTCATTGGAAAGATTTACAGCCCCTTTGTGCCACAAGTATCTTTGTTTTAATTCAGGACCAAAAACTCAAGGTTAACTAAAAAGCCCTTGCTGCTCAAGTAAAGCACTGCAATACTCTTTAAAGGAATGCTATAGGAAGAGGACAGAAATTATTAATAGCACTTGCAGATTAAGCTGCTTTGAGGTTTCTTTCCTTGATGTTTACAACTCTATTTCAGCAAAACATTGATGGCTGTATTTTGTTTCATAAGCAGAATTAATTTAAATTTTTAACATTCTAATAGCAAAATTTATGAGAGTCTCTTCCTCATTCCAGTCAAGTACTTATTATTGCTATTATAGCCCTCAGAGGGAAAAATCTTTCCAGCATCTGCCTTTCTGTTCCAGTTCCTCCCCGAGTCCCCATCCCTGTGAAGGTCGCTAAAAACAAGAACTTCCTTCTTTGCGTAGCAGATAAGTGCTATCTGCCTCATAGTTCCTTCTTCAAGTAGCAGACGTTGCCTCTGATTTTTCAGTATCTGAGCCGCCTTCTCTCTCAGACATGCTTTGTCTTAATAATTGCCCTATTTTTTTAATCAAAAATGCAGTGTATTATTATTCTCACTTCGCTGCCGACAGAAAATAGTTTGAGGGAACACACTAATTAAAAATCTACTAAATGTGAAAAAGCCCCAGCTACATTCTGTCTTATGCAAATAGCGATACAATATTACTGCAGGGCTTGAAGCCTCTGTAATGGATTACTTACTGTTTTAGAAGTATGCTATCAACAATAAGGAATGCTGGGGGTCAAACTTACCCAGTTTTGGCGAAGTTAGTCCAGTACGTCATAACTACTGCACTGAGCATGACATCATTCTTGGAAAAGTTGCAGTTGAACAGCTCTGTGGGGCCAATCATAGGAATCCCAAACACGTAAGGGACTTCATCACCATGAGCTGAATCAGCCCAGCTGGGTTTCATTTCACTTTGGCAATGGTGATAAAACGCATAGAAATATGTTGGAGATCCATACTGGGCATGCAGGTCAGCGGTAGCAACAGCCGGAGCAACCCACTGGTGGTCTGTGAAAAGAGCTACCAGGGTCTTTCGTCTTGTTTCAGGGTTTTCTTTATCTGCCCAGTCGGTGTACATGAATTTAATGGTCTCTCGCAGTGTATCTTTCCCTTCTGGATAACCATACAGATTGTCCACAAAATTGGAGACAGAAAAGTCAAAATCATTAGGGGAAACACCATCTTCATTGTCTACAATGCCGTCCACAAATTTTAAACCTTCTCCTTGATTCACACCCAGCATTATATCATAGTTAAGGAATTCCCCTTGTTCCATGAGAATCTGAGGGTCATCTGGAATCACGTCTCCATCTATCACAGGCCCAAAGGCAATGTGGTACGTGGCTGGAGTGATGGTCTGTTGAATGAGTTCTTTGTAATTCTTATTCCGAAGACATTCAACCAAATCAGTGGTATCCAGCATGTCGCAGCCCACTTTATCTGCCAATATCCGAGTGTACTTGGCAGGCTGATAGTTCACTGCCCAGCTGGACAGGGCTGTTCCACTCTGTATGATTGCCTTTTGGAACAAACCTGCAGGTGCAAATTGTTTAAATGCAAATCCAATTAAATATTATAAAAATGCATTAAAAAAAATAGAAGCAACATTCACTAAGCAAGGAGAGCTTTGATTATGCAACAGCTAAAGGATGCATGTATCTAAATTTCAATGCAATTTCCATATATTCTAATCACTGCTCCTTTTTTATAGCATCTCTAATAGGCTTCTAATTAAAATCTCTCTTGTTCTTGGTGGTCACACACATAAAGCATGAAGGTTTCAGGTTACTATTTTAAGAACAGAACTTATGCTCGTACTGCAATATTTTTGCATCTTTAATGGAAGTCCCTTGGCTTTAGCACAGTGGTAGTCACATAAAAATTTCTTGAAAGGAGTGGCAGCTACAAGCAATCATATCCTCTTTGCCGTGTAAATGACTCTCATAAATGTGCTTTTCAGTAGTTTAAAGGTCAAATGAAAATTACACAGTCTCATTTCCTTCATAGAAACCATGCATCATATGATTTGAAAAAATCTGCTCTGCTAAAATCAATTTAATAGGCTTGAGTATTCTACTCTGGCATTATTTTTTTTTTACCATCTTAATTTGTTTTGTTATTATGTGTGTAGTGGGTTTTATCACTGCCTGTATGTTGAATTTAAATATATTTACATTTTTTTGAAAAGAGTAAGACAAGATTCAATATTTCTTTCTGATTGTTTTTTATGTACTAATATTAAAAGAGATGAAAGACCTAGACTGAAGAGCTTTGTTGTGCCAGAGCACTGAAAAGCACATAGAGCTTACTGGTGAATCTGCTCCTTCTGTTTTTTTCCAGTAAGATAATTAAAATGTCTTATTTTATACTTGAACTAAAATGCCTAAGTGTCTTCTGCACATAGTTTCTACTGTCAAACTCTTGAAATGTCAAAGACAGCAACAGCTACAGAAACAGTTAACACTTTGAATCTTTTATGGGAAAAACTGGCTGTGGTTGATACACGTCTGTGATGATTACTTGCTGCACATGCCACAAAATTCCAGTTATGTGATTAGTTAAGTTTTTCATGATTCCGTCTGCTTGATTTTGGCATGGCTTACTTAATAGTTATTCACTGCACCCTATTTGTATCAAGGGACTGACTTATGAGGCATAAATCCATGTATTTCCAAACAGGGTGTGTTTACCAGCCACTTCAATACATCTGCTTCCTGTCATAGATTTATCTGTTTTAATGTGGTGTAAGTAGCATGGACTTATAAATTCAAGAGGTATTTTGGTCTTCTTTTATAAATTCTTTGTAGAATTGATCTTATCACAATTTATGGTTTAGTACTGGTGCTGCACATTCTTGAGGTGGTGGTTGGTTTTTTTTTTTTGTGGAGGAAGGGGTGAGATATTAACGGTAGAAACCCCACAGCTTAAAGCACCAAAATATTAAGAAGTCTGTGTGGGATCACACAGTACTTGCGGGCAGTTAAATACATTTTTTTAATAAGGTTAAGTTATGTTAACATTAAGTAAGGAAAATATCTAAACACATGTTGGAAGTGCAGACAAGAGTGTGTAAAAAATGAAAAAGGTCATTGTTCTTTTCCATTTTAATTAGGGCAAATTCTCTGACAGAAGAGCCAGGGGAGACTGTTAATAAAGCTAGAAAAACTATATTGCCCATGGCATTTGTTGCACAAAATTTCTGATGTAATAGCATTTAATTTTTCATATAAAAATGTTTATGTCGGCTAATACAAATCCACAGTACTAGCTAACAGGCATTTTACAATAATTACAGACCTCATGGAATTCTAACTCTGCCTACATGATATGGCTATGTTCATTACACTGTAATGTGTATTAATAAAACAATAAAAGTGCTTTGCTCAGAAGACTGTTACCTTCTGAATAGTGAGAGAGTGTCAAGAGACTGACACAGGAAGCTCCTGCCCCAGATCCAAAAATAGTAACTCTTTTTGGGTCTCCTCCAAAAGATCCAATATTTTCTTCAATCCAACGTAAAGCTTGGATTTGGTCAAGCAGTCCATAATTGCCTTTTGCAGCTTGGTCTCCAGTACTTAAAAAACCTATGGGGCAAAAAAAGATAATTTTAGTTCACCAGATACAGAGTTAGCTACAGGGCATCCACATAATCACAACACATCTTCCCAAATTTTTGACTTCTAGTCTTTTTTTTTCTTCTTCTTTTTTTTTTTTTTTTAAAGGTCATAGTCCTAGTTAAATGTCTCCGGTGCAGGGAATGGAACTCATTTCTGTACTCTGTTTAGCTTTAGTTTGTTTTTCCCTACTACAGAGGTCATATCTGTGAAAAAAACATTATTTCCATTTGGAAATAATTCTATACCAATGCAATGATACAGGCTGAAGCTTCTAAACATTTGATAACTCTGAGTAAAGTACAGAAACTTAGGATATTATTTTTGTGCAAAGAAGTGAGATACCCAGTCTTCCACTGAGGACAAGGCTCCCTAGTACATAAATCTCAGTGCTTCTTGCCATGGACCAAACTTGTTCTAAACTTCACAGCTCTTTAAATTATTGTACTTGTGGTATGGATAGACATATTCAGAAAGACAAAAAGGAGGATGAAGAATATAGTAAAAAGAACAGGAAACAGCCCAGGAAAAAGATCACACTCCAATTGCACAGATGATATTAGGAAAATAGCAGGTAAATCCTCAGCAATTCAAGCCTTTCATGGAGAGATTTTATATGAACAAATCAGGTTTTGTCTCTTTCCTTGGAAATTGCCGGGAAAGCTGCACCGTTATTTTTTCTTCGTGTACTGTGGTTATCAGATTTTTGGAATAAAGCATGACACATGCACTGCTTGTTCTGCAATTGAAAGCAAAATGACCGGAAGACTAGGATCTAGATTAATTTTCTTTTTCTGAAACCAGCAAAAGTGAAACATTGCAGTTATTTATCCACATTACACAGTTAAGACCTTGTGCTACGTCCAAATTACCACATCGAGCCATGTACTCACACTCTTCAAGTCCCACGAATCTTTTCCTGTTAGAAAACTGGAAGTCAGAAGACTATTAGAAATTCCTTACAGCATATGAAAGTTTCTGGGTGGACATTACTGATGCCGCTACTAACAGCTGCTTATCAGGACAGAATGAGGATATTCCGTGGCTGCTGTTTCCAAACTAGTTATCAATTCAGACAAATTTGCCAGAAGAGGGCCCCAGGACTCAGGAGATCTTCATTCCTGGAGCAGTTTGAGATGAGAGAGATTGTAATATTGAGCCACCTTAGCCTGCTGTCACCAGACCTCCATGCTCCTTGGAAGGAGTGCAAGGGAAGCTGGAGATCCTAGAGGGGAAAAAATGCCTTGCAGTACATTTCACCCACTTTGGCAAAGGGGAACAGATCTCTTTGCACTGGCTGTAGTTAATTTTCCAGTGCCAGAAAGAATGAAAATTCACAAAGTGGAAGGGATTGATGATATGGAGGAAGCAGAAGAAAAGGAAAGGAAAGAAAAGAAGAAATTAGATGTGTCAGACATTCACACCTGTTGGACTTTCACCATAATGTTTTCTATGGCAAAATTTCTATGATGAGATGCAAAATTCAGCCTCAAGGTTAAAAAAAAAAAAATTACATAAAGACTAAATTCCAAATATGGTATTCTATATAGCTTCCGTTATGGTGACATACATTTCTGCATGCAAGGTTAGGCATGATTGAATGAAATTAATTACCTTGCACCCAAAAGAGTCTTTTTTATATTTATTTAGTAATTATTAATAGGTCTTTAATGTCAGCAAATATCTGATAAGTACTCGTATTTTTCACAAAGCTGTTGCTCCAACTGCAGTAATACGAATTACATCCTTACTGGTAAAGAGTACTTGATTCAGCTTTCTCATACAAAAGTCTCTAACAATGGTAAGCACAGTAGTTGGAGTAACAGTAACATCTTTTTCTTCTACACCAATGGGAGAAAACAAACAAGCTATTAATCCATAATTGCCTCCATTTTTTTAACAGATGCATTTTTTCTCACATGCCTTTATTATCTTTTTACAATTGTCAAGGAAAGAATAACCCACTTGCTGGCTTTGCTGCTTCAGCTAACTAAAATATTCTATAATATTCTATAATTAAGTCTTTATTCAATCAGAACTATGACCTCCCTTGGACAAAGTGACTGTAGTAACCTTTAAAGCAGCATGGCAATTAATATTCAGAGCCTAAACACATTTTAGCTCTTCTAGCAGCATCAGGCTAAAGCTGGTTGATTTTTGTGATTTTGAATTCTTTCCAAATGTACTAGAAAGTGACTAAAACTGTCAATGAATATCTAATGTTAGACAATAGAAGATTCTTTTTGTTGTTGCCACAGTTCTTTGCTGATTCTCATTAATTGCAAGAACAAATTTTCTTAATTTAAAAACTAATTATCATGGCAAAGTGTCAGCCCCACATGACACAAACTGAATTCATAAATACATATTTTCTTGATGAGGATATATTTTCTTTCATGCTTTGAATACCAGATCAAAATATTTGTTCAAAGCCATTTCAAGAAATTGAGGCAAGAATTAACTATTTGTCCAGAAATAAACAACACTTAGAGATTTTTTTTTTCTTTTATCATTGTGAAGATTTGAGAAGAGTATCTTCACTGGTCACTCTGAAATACTGACCAAGAAGGAATGTAGCTTTTTTCTGACATGGGGATTTATACTCTCTTACTTTTACGTACATGTTTTTAAGTGTAGTTAAGACTATTTCCCATTTTATGGTGTGGCATGATTAGAAGGGCATTCTGTGATTTGAAAATCCTTAGGTTGGGGTTTTGATAGAACCTGCAAAATCTTCTCCCTAGCCTAATGCAACAGGAGATGGAATGGCAGTAGCTGAATACAGAAAACAAAGAGCTTTTTTTTTTCTCTTTTTTTTTTATTCCATAATGATACAGGAAGACATTAACAGTGATATTAGTTCTTGAATTCACAAATCTGTCTTTGCTCAAATAGTGCTTTGGAAGGGTCATCACATTTTTCAGCAACAGCTGAAAAAGAGGAATGTATACGTCACCGTGTGTGTTGAGTGAAATACCCTAAATTGTCTTAGGGGACATTTGCTCCAAACTTGTGCCACAGAGAGAGATGACAACCAAATGGACTGAGTAGTAACCAGGGAATTAGTCTTCTGAAATAAAGTTAAATTTGAAAAGAAGGGCAAAAGAATCAAGACAATTTGTAAATCTAGAGAGAGGGAGGTAGGAAGAGTACAGCAGGTGGACGTGGTTTGACGTTGTGAGAACGTGGCCACTGACATCGCAAACTCCCTCCAGCCTGGACAGAGCAGCTGCACCCAGTCAGGAGCTGTCCACGTAGGGTAGCACACAGGGACTCTCCTGGGGTGTGGGGAGCCTCATGGGGCGATTTTTTTTTTGCTGTGTGGGTTGGTGGGCAGTCATGGGTTGCATGAGCTCACCTCATGAGCAGGTGGTAGCCTCAGGTCCCATATGGAGAATCAGAGAATTTCCACTCCCCCACCATGGGGCTGCTGGTGACTCAGGCAGCCAGGGGGTGGCTTGATGCACACATAGCACTGTGCATTTCTGTGTGTGAGTAGAACTTTTGCGGATTAGTTACAAAAGGCTGTTTAGAAATTTGCAACTGTTTACTAATCTTTCTTAAGTGTCTAGCATTGTAATTTATCTTTTGTATTGCTGATAGTGATCCTGAAAGTACAGCTCACTGACTGCTGTTTAGTCATAAATCATTAATTAATTATTAAACTGCTTTGATATGGATTTGATTTAAACCACATTAATTGAACAGCTTTTCCCTATAACAGTTTATTCTTTAAAAAATTAAAATGCATAATTTTATAAGAGGAAACTTAAAGTATTCTTAACTTGTTTTGCTCTATTACTTATAATTAATCTTACATCTCATTTTTTCTACATTTTTTCATGCAGAGAAAAATGCTTAATTAATTGAGGGTTCTGAAGTAACAGTTTTATTTCTTTTTCTCTAATCTATTACAGGAAGTATTTGAAGTTCATGCTTTAGTTTTAACCTAGTAGATTAGCTACAGTCACAGAGGAAGAACATTACAAATAAAAATACTGAGAATTTTCCTTTTTGACAGCCTGTAAATGAATGGACTCATAAGCTACATGCTGTCACTTGCATTGTTTTCATAATGCAGTGAAGACTCAAAGCTACACATGGAGCTCCTTTAGATCCCACTTACGCAAGAGGAAATCCCTAGGTCTACCTTTGTAATTGATTTTCCCACTATGCTACAGAAATCTTACAGAAAGACCACGCAAATCCCAGCAAAACAATAGTGATAATTCTCCTTTACTACTAAAAAATTATGTAGGGAGCATAATGACAAATAGAAGGGGCAAGTATCTATAAAATCCACCCAGACAGTTTACTTCTGTCCAGCTCCAGCCTCATCTTATGATCGGAGGACATCCCTACATTAGCATGCCGTGCAGACATGCAAGAGTGAATCTAGAACAGAATAGCTGGAAGTCACATCCACACTATACATATTTCACATATTGTTTTTTACTATGACCTAACTCTTGTCCAGTCCCATGGGCTGAAAGAATGACCACTTGTGGGACACTGTGCATAAGAGGGAGCACATCTTCCAGCTGAGTTTTATCTGGAAGGGTCCAGGCTGCACTTTAGAGAATCAGTCTGCAATGAGAAACAATGTGCAAGGAGGTGGTGACAATACTGAGGTTTTCTGTGGAAAGACACTCTTGGTCTGAATTAAAAAGCTAGTGTGGACACGCTCAGAATCAAAAGTATATTCTTCCAACCACAGAATTTCAATTTTCAAAGAGTGGTCTCAGATGCAGTCTCATTCCATCTGTGGACCTTGTCAAGATATGTGAGTAACTCAACAGGCTGCGTAAAAAATGTAATGCATTTCATTTATACTAAATATGATATTGGAATATAATTTATCTCTATACTTCGACAAAAGTATTTTCAACTGAAAGTTATGCAGTGGTTTATGGGCAATGAATAGATAGTTTGAGGAGAAGAGCATGAATATGTCAAGAAGCATCATCAAT